TGGCTTTCTTGTGACCCATCTGTTCGTTTTGCTCTCCTGTAGTAAAAGAAGTACGAGAAATGCAGTAGAAACTAGGTACTTTTTTATGTTAGAGGGGGCAGACGAGCAGACGGGTCACCTGATATAAAGTGACTATCACCACCCATGAACGTCTGCAACTCAGGAGTCACAAACGAGAACGAACGAACAAAGAAGAACGCTCTTTTCTTGAAGGCTTGAAGGTCGTATCGGTCCGGAAATACAAGGAGTACTATTGCCTTAATTGAATGTTTCGCTCAATTTCGTTTGCACAGAATATGTTTTATCTTGTTTATACCACAAAATCGATCTTACAATGTTTAAAAAGACTTAGCTTGACTTGACTTAGAATGGTTGGTAGGTACTATATAGCCACCTGCTGTTTAAGAGGTGGGCAAGTTCTTGGAATATACTACCCATTGTTACACATTGGGTGGTGTGATCCTAAAGGTTGATTACCGGTGAGATTTTCTTCACAATAAAATATTGGTAAAGTGCAATTAACGGGAATTTGAACTATAAAAAGTGTATTTACACACAAACCACCAACACCTATTTACACCAACCTACCAATACATTAAGTTGACTTTAACAAAAAAACTACAAACGAATGATGCAAATTATAACAAAGTTATTAAAATAAATAAAATCTCAACCTATAATCAAAACAATAATATAGATTGCGTACACTTTTATCAAACTACCCCTGACCTATCGTTATTTACCCCACCTTTCAGATTGCCAGATAAAAAGTGCTCCCTGATTTATGGGACTTTTTTTCTCTCCGATAAATAGTTGTCTTAAGGGCTGGTAGGTCGTTCAGCACTCATTTTTCCTAAGGTGGATATTGCTTTTTTTGCTGATAAAGATATGACGAATGAGGTAGGTGTGAGATGGTTTATGTCCTGTCAGATTTATAACATGGGTTTTTATTTTACGATCACTTTATCATAGGTGTGGTTTATTTTGTGCTTTATTTCCTTGATGAAATTGGGGAGCTTTTTATAGGCGTTCTTTGAGGACGCCATGAATAGATTGGATTGTTAATATAAAAAATGACACTTACTATCTTGATAGTATTCTTTGCCATGTTGGTCTAGTGGGTGGTGACCCTGACTGCCAACCCAGAGGTCTTAGATTCGATACCCACACAGAACAAATAATTGTGTGATGAACTCGATCATTCGTTCTGTGTCTTGGTGTAAATTTCTAAACTATATGAATCTATATTCTATATCTATTTAGAACTATATAGATTAGTATCTTCATCAACAGACTGGTTACCATAGTACAGGTTCTGCCTAGTTTGGCATCAGACAGCCATATGTGAGATATGTTATTATATTATATTACAAATTCATTTAATTAAAATCAACCATTTTGATTTTAACTGCAAGAAATAGTAAAAATAGGAAAAAGTACGCTCATTTGCCGCCTTAGTGATAAATCAATATTCCGTGATTCCAACTACGACCATTGGAACATACTTGAACAACACACCACACAAATAGCGGTAATGAAATTTTGTTATTTTAATTTAGTAAAAGAGTCCTTTATAAGTTATTAGATCCATAATAAAAAATCGCGCTCACTACATATTTTTTTTGTTTTTAAAGCGAATGGAACACCCAATCTCAGCAGTCTGAATCACTAAAACGCCACAGCGGCTAATCAGCAAAACAACAAAAAGTAAGCATAGAACTAATGCCAACATAACTTAACAAATTAATTAACATCTTGTCAACGTAATGAAAATCTTAGTATATTTTGAGGAACTCTATACTAAATTACATAATATATGACATTACCCTCAAAACACAAATCACAATTCATCCAACTTAAAATAACCGATGTACCGCAATTCATGCTCATCTCATTGAACAATAAACTCCACTTCCTCCGCGTTTGATGTCGCCACTGACAGGAAAGGGGGGGAGCGCTGAAGGGGGAGGTGGCATGAGAGGATCACCGCGAACAAAGATTTAACTAAGAGACAAAACATGCTTGCTTAGGCTTGTTACCTATTTCATCTACAGGATGTGTCTCTCTCAATCTGTTTTTATGTTAGAGCAGACGGGGCACTTGATGGAAAGTGACTATCGCCGCCCATGAACGTCTGCAACTCAGGAGTCACAAACGCGTTGCCAGCGTTTTAGGAAGAAGTACGCTCTTTTCTTGAAGGTTTGAAGGTCGTATCAGTCCGGAAATACCGCAGATAATAATCCGTTAAACAGATAATAAAATTTAATGAACAATAATGAAACACTGCTCTTGTAAGTTTCTCCACGTACATGAGACTATTAAACAATTAAAAATTAGTTCTTTTAAGGACTTCTTAATGTTTTAGACCCTTTCTATAGCGATATTAAATCTTTTCCACGAAATCAATTTGTTTTATTTCATTCACTTTAGTTTAAGCAAGTGTAACGTCTGGATATTACTACACCTGAAAACTATCGGTCAAATTGAAAGCATTGGTACAGCAAGTGATTGGTAGTAGGTGTATTATATTTGTTTACATACAATATTATTGGGTAAAAGTTTTAAAATCATTCAGAATGAACCGATATTTTGTAAACAATTGGATAAATTGAAAAACTAAGTCTCCGCAATTCGAAAATAAAAGAATTTTGCTTGTTTTTAATATAAGTACGTATTTTGTACTATACTATAAAACTTATAAAATACAGTCGCAATCTGGTCAAAACGTCACTCAATTCAAAGGTACGAGCTTATTTCTTATACAAATAATAAATCTTCGAAAAGCCTTATTTATATTTTTATTCTATATATATTTATAAAACATGAATTTATTTTCTTAAAGAATAACAAACATTTTAAAAACATTTTATTTTATAAATTATCATATTATGTTATGGAACGGGCAATCTAAAAAGTAAATAACAAAACATTTTAATTTTTATTTTACTTATTTTGTTGAAAAGAAAACAAAGAAATTGAGAGAAATGAGTTTGCCTTACATAAATTAAAAAACTCTTTAAGATTAAAGTAATCATATAGATATTAGCGATCCACAATATTTTGTTTAGATATTAAAGTAGAACACCGTGTAGGTCGTATCTCACCTCGCGTCATTGTGGTAGTCTGTCGCAGGCGCGTCTCCATCGAATAACTTTTTAACGAGCGCTTCATATCATCTACAGCTCATTCAGGCACCTCCACAATGTACACATTTACATATATTTATGTACAATATAGATACACTTGTTTACTTTAACGATAATTTGATAAATACATGTAAATATTTAGTAAAAATGTGATATTTTGACATTAGAAATTTACAGTTCAAGTTTTATATTTGATTAGTTTTTGCAGTCGACTGTTAGTAATATTCATGATGACTTTTCTATGGGTAATAATGTAGCAAAGCGTGACCACATTTTGATTGTTTGCGGTCATAAAAACGCCTTATACTGCAATTGTTTTAATTTTGCATATTTTTTTATAATGCAGCGGTAAACTAGAATTGGTCTGGTGGAAAGCGATCCTAATCATTCCTGACTACTAAGAGAGAGGTCGTGGATTAGATTCCCAACCAGAAAAAAAATTTTGTGATGAACACTATCATTTTTTCTGAGTCTGTGTAATTTATGTACGCTTTTATAAATAAATATATATTTCGGACATCTGACACACAATACCATCTAGATTCAGACTAAGCAGAGCTTGTACTATGAATGCTAGATTGACTGATAGAATACTTATATTTTTTTTTTTGTAAACATGTATGTACATAGAAAAAACACCCAAACTCCGAAACTAATATTTGCAGATCGGGAATCGAACCCCAGACCTTAGCACAGCAGTCGTATACGCCACCTACTAGACGAACGAAGCAGTCAAATATATTATATGATTTTATTTCAAAATAAATGTATGTGTAGCTATTTATGAAGTAAAATATCATAGACGTTTTGTTTTCACATATTCCGCGTTGTATTAAATGCCATCTGTTTTTATGTGATAATATTTCTAAATGTAGAGAAAAACATTTTTTTTCTTATTCTATTTACCGTGTAAGTCCTCAGAATATTAATTATACCTACTGCTTTTAACCGCAATGCCTACCTCATACCTGGCTCCCATGAATCCCATTCTTCATTCTACTATAATAATCAGAGCGCCTTATTACATCACTCATCAACAGCCTTTAATAATCCACTGCTGGACATAGGCCTCTTTTTAGAAAGGAGGTTTTGACCTACTATACCACACTGGCCAGACGGGATGGTATAGGGTTTGTGTCAAGTTTTTCTTCTCTCAGTGGTGTTGTTCTGCGTAGTTTTTTCCCTTAGTCGACTCTTACGACACCCTAAGGATGAATAGGGTTGATAACAATCTGTATTCTTAATCCGTCACCACACGGACATCCAGATCCAGAGCGCCTATCCAAAACGTGTTAGCAAAATATTGTAACATTTCAATTTGCTTGGATTTCATTCGAAACTGTGTTGGACTCATAACGGCTCTGACTATCCATGTAAGTACTGCTTAGTTTAGCTTATATTATAAGGATGCTTATTCAAACTTAACATTAATACTGTCCAGTGGGTTATCTCTTAAAACTATTTTTTTATTTTCATAGTTAATACTAATGTAGTTTTTTTTATGGTATAAGGGGGCAACGAACAGACGGGTTACCTGATGGTAAGCAAATACTACCTGCAACTCAAAAGTCACAAGTGCGTTGCCGCCCTTGGAGTCCCTCCCGCGGGGATTTGGGCTCCGGTAACCTCACTCACTTAGTGAAAGGCAACGAAATAATTGCTTAACACCGGTTGTTTTGTTCATTTGCTATCTTAGTGGTACTATATAATGATTTTTTTGGTCGTTAGCAGAATTAGACAAACTATCTACTTACTTACTTAAAATACCTATGTTAGTTCTTCTTCAATTGAAAACTATCATAAAACGACCAAGTACATTATACGAGAACTTTATCTACATGCTAATGTAGTTAATTAATAATCTTGACCATAGTCATATGTGTTTATGCGAAATGCTACATTTTCAATTCCCACTTTATGCCAACCTGGGCGGCACCAACATTTGCCTGTCTCACACTTCATATCCAACACGTTGACACCCAGTTCACTGCAGACTCCGAAACATTCTTCATTTGATTCGCATTCTACATCTGCAATTTTTTTTTAATAACATGTTAACTTTAGGAGACAAGAACATACTTCAGTCCTAGACTTTATGAGCTAATTTAATTTCTAAATTAATTTCGGCTGTTTATATCAATTACGTTGCACCCAGCTCATTCAATACCTGGGGATGCCTTATCTACAAAGAATTTAATAATAAATTACCTGCTGTAATTATTTTTATTAGTATATGTATATACTTTTTGCACCGCACAACTAATCTGTTGAACGGGTTATCGTGTGCGGTATTTCCGGACCGATACGACCTTCAAACCTTCAAGAAAAGAGCGTACTCCTTCCGGCCGGCAACGCGTTTGTGACTCCTGAGTTGCAGACGTTCATGGGCGGCGATGGTCACTTTCCGTCAGGTAACCCGTCTGCTCGTCTGCCCCCTCTAATAATAAAAAATCACTCTTCCAACCAAAACCACTTGATCGGATGTCTGATGCTTTAGCCCTTACCTTGCCATCGCTTACTCGTGAGTATCATGTTATACAATTAATTAATACACTAACAACTACCGAAACACCGTGGGAGAGCCGTGTGTGCGTTGCTTTACACTAAATGAGTGAGGCTAGGGGAGTCCCAACCCGTTGAGGGGAATAAATGTACTCTTTTGTCTTTTGGTTTTGCGGGTGTTCGTGGTCAGTACACGTACCATCAGTTGACAGCTTGGTTTTTTCCCAACATCATAAAAATAGTGATAAAACATACAGTTTGAATACTAGAATCGGAATGAGACATATTTTTCAAATGTCTATAATTAATGTGAATGATGATACAACATATTGTTTAATAAAAAGAAGGAGAGAAACTTACCTGGTGTAAGAGCACTGTCCAACAAAGGCGCCTCATATTGAGCCATAGTATAGCCATGGTATAGCCATAAAACTACTAAAATTATATATTTCATCTTATTCAAAAGTAATAGAACGTACCACAACCCTTTGAACGAAGGTAAATTTGAGCTTTACTGAGTTACAGAATGGTTGAACGAAGGTAAATTTGAGCTTTACTGAGTTACAGTATGGTCGCTATTCCTTCTTATGAATTATTGTAACAGATTACGTTTATTTGAATATAATGTAAGTTACTTACACCTAACAAGATACATATATGACTGTTTCTAAAGATCGTATTTTCAAAGCGTAACACCGTAATATAAAGTTAATCAATCAATTCGTTTTGTTAAATTTACCAGATTGGTTTTACAATCGCTGTAAGTGAATAATATATTTAAATACTAATAGAATTAAATGTATATTATATACATAAGCGTCTTATTATTAATTTATTAAAGATGATATTTATTCTTCAAAAACAAAATTATTTAGTTGACTTACAATTATTTTCTTACATAATAAAATAAATAGGCGGGCACTCCAGATTTTTTTCATGGGTGAGTGAAAATCAACATCCGTGGTATAACTCCGGTGTCGACTGCAGTGGTACTACGGACTGTTATCGGCTTACTAGCAACCGAAATTACTAGTATTCCCGTTAACCCAGCTAAGCTAAATTGCTTGTGTTAGGAATGGGTTCACGTTGGTAGTGTAATGGTCAGGATTCGAACCCACGATCTCTTGATTGCAAGTCCAATTCCTTAACCTCGAGGCTACCGCCGCTTATAAAAAGTCTCTTTAACTACTAACAAATTAATTGTTGCAATACCTAAACAATGCAAGTTACCACACAAACAAGGGTGCACACATTTCATTAACCTCAACAGTTTAATCCGCAATCCATCGCATTCATTCGAGTTTTTTCGATAGTCCTTCACAACGAATATCGTTCTGGCAAAGCGGCTGATCAAATCAACCGTTTATTTGTACGGGCGCACTCGCCCGTGGCGGATATCGCGGATATTCCCGCAGATACGCGGATATTTGTGGCGTGCATTCGGAATTTAAATAGCGTGCTTGTGTACGATGTTGGGCCTGCACTAATTTGTCCTGTTAATTTCCTGACATCGGATGCATTAGTTCGGATGATGTGCGTCCTAGCGTGATATTTGTTTTGGATGCCTTGTTTAATATACCAATGAAAAGTTTATTAACTATGTAATATAAATAATGCATCAATAATATTAATATGTACCTACAGACAGCTAAAATTACTGCGTCATTTCGACTCTTACTGAGTAAAAAAAAAATCACAACGGCGTAGGAATAACGCCATCATTTTTTGCCATGATTAGATAGTATTGTAGGTGATACCACTCTTAGCTCCCGCTATACCTATCGAACACACAACGATACGTAGTAAAATTTAATTAAAAAGTTGGCCTAATTTTAGTGTTGTATACCAATAAACAATTTAAAATATCGATGCAATAATATCGGTTATTCGCAGTTTAATACTAAATGAAGGAACCTATTTACGAATCAAATAAACTCGAACCAAATTAACGCGAACTACCCTCAAAATGAACAATCGATTTGTATGAACGAGTATTTGACGAGGACGATCCAAATTTGAAATACAAAATTAACCGATTTTATCCGAATGGTGGACCAATCAGCTTGATGGGTTTGATTCAGCGGTAATTTGGACAATGTTAATACTTTATACTTAGTGCAAACGTTGATTGCTAATTAAAAATATAGTTTACGTGTAGCATTTAGGTTTTTAGGGATTAATGAGTATAGGGAATCCTGATTAGTTTTCTAGGAAAACTATTTAATTAAAATAGACTTGCTTAATTAATTGTTTAATATAATATAATTATTATCCCATCGGAGGGAGAGTGCCTCACTTCAGATTTTTTGTGAAGAAGTGGCCTCACAAAAAATCGGTGTTAAGCAATTCTTTCGTTGCCTTTCACTGAGTGAGTGAGGTTACCGGAGCCCAAATTCCCCTCCCGCTGACTCGAGTTGGGAGACTCCAAGGGCGGCAACGCACTTGTGATTTTGAGTTGCAGGTGTCCATATCGGCAGTAATTGCTTCTTCAGGTAACCCGTCTGCTCGTTTGCCCCCTTATACCATAAAAAAATGCCTGTAGTAGAAATCTTCGTACTACATTGTGTGTTTTTCAACACAATAATTGTTATCACTTAAATTGTCATTGTAAGAGTTTCCAGTTAAAGTTGTAGCTATTTTTCCATAATTTTTAAGTTTAGAACATTTATTGAATACTATAGTTAAACCGCCGTAAGCTTGGCCCTCCTGATGTTAACTATAATATTAGCTTTTTTGGAATTCTCTTATGATAGGAGATAATAGTAGAAGGTAAATTTCAGTAAGAGTTAAATGGATATGGCAAGAAAGGAGAGTCCCAAGACTTGCGGCGCCACTAGTACACAGACATCAACTGGTCAACTGTATGACATACAATTAAAAAAACATTTTCAATATGTTTTAAACATATTGAAAATGATTTTTTTTTATAAATCGACTGCACTGATGGCGTTGTGGTTAAAGCGGTCACCTCGCTTCTTACTGCTTTGAGTGTTCGATCCCCACACGGGACAACACTTTGTGTGATGCACAAATTGTTATCCTGAGTCTGGGTGTTTTTGGTACCCGTTTCATTTATGTTTATATAGTCCCACGCGACACAGTATTTATTCAAGGTAAAAGTGTTGTCTTTTAAAAAATATCTAGATTTAATTAAATAAGGAGTATAAGAAGAACATTTTCAATTAAACATCACAATCTAGACCGAACTAAAAGGGGCTGGTACTATTTTTTAAGGTGTAGGGGGCAAACGAGGAGACCAGTCACCTGCTGGTAAGTGACTACCGCCGCCCATTGACATTGGCAACTTAAAAGTTACAAGTGCATGGCCGCCCTTTGAATCCCTCCCCCCCATAATTAGGAGTTGTTCCAGTAATCTCACTCACTTGGTAAAAAACAAGGAAAGAACGATTTATTCCCAGTAATTCCATGTACAGTACAGAACAGAATACTGGTTTTCTGGGAGGTCGTGGTATCACTCTGTGGTTTGTTTCGGCTTTTCTTCCCAGAGTGAGTGTTGGAAATGCTGGCTCCTTCTAGCTGTAAAGTCCGACTTGTAAAAATATCTAAAAAAATATATATACAGAAATGAATGTCTCACATGGCTCACCTACGATTAAATATACTAACACAGACACATAAGTATGATCATCATCATCAACAGCCTTTAACAGTCCACTGCTGGACATAGGCCTCTTCTTAGAAAGGAGGGTTTGCCCTACTATACCTCGCTGGCAAGACGAGTTTGCATAGGGTTTGTTTTAAGTTTTCCGTCTATTGGTAGTGCTGTTGTCCTGCGTAGTTTGCTCCGTTAGTCGGTTCTTACGACACCCACAGAATGAATAGGTATGGTGACACTCCGTATTCTTAATCCGTCACCACACAGATATAAGTAAAGAATGTTGTAATTATTTCATTTCACAAAAGCGCCTTCTTTGCATCCTTTCGAAACACAGTGCCATTTGTAAAGAAAAATGTGTGGTGATGTTTTAATTTGATCATAAATGAATATCACAAGTAATTGTTTACGAGTTTGTGTGGGTGTAGGGCTATAAAAACCGCGAGTTACGGTTGTCACTCACGCGTCGTTAACAGCGTATTTACATACCTGACTGTGAAAGGATGTAAAGAGCTGTGTATATTGAGCACTCGTATTTCATGTTAAACATAATTATATCTTTAATAAAACCGAGGTCATTTCAGATTGGTAAAAATATTACAGTGATATAAATTATTCAGGTTAAATTCCAATACTTATTGTAACTGAGATTATGTGAGTTAATTTTTAGGTGTACTTAGGTGTACCAGGGCTTTCCTTTCTAGAGTATACCTGGTTCCTCAGCTACTGTTACCTGGAGACGGTGTGCGGTTTTTGGTCGGTTCGAGTCCGACATAATTACGGGTGGTATCCGAGGGGAGTTCCGCATGCACCAGGGACTTCCTTTCTAGGGTACACCTGGTTCCCCGGCTATTAGTACCCGAGACGGCGTGCGGTTTTAGTCGGTTCGAGTCCGACATGCCACCGATAGGTGGTATCCGAGGGGATTTCCGCACGGAAAAAAAAAAGAAAAAAAAGGGGAGTTCCGCATAGAAATTTATTAATATTTTTTTTTTTAATAATTTATTTTAATTTTTTTTCAATAATTTATTTTTATTTATTTATTTCTTTTAATAATTTATAATCATAAAAAAAAAATCCTCAAAAAACGTAATATATTTTCAACTACCGATATTTATACCGATGCCAATGGCTACTCGATGGCGTGTCAGTGGTATGACACTGCCTTGGCGTAAACATAAAATAGCAGAATTGAGGCCCTGATGTTATAACAATAAAAACGTCATTAAATATAAAATTATAAATACATAATTTCATAATTATTCCTTTCCCTTTGCCTGAAATTATTCTCAATTTTATTTGATATTGCATCGGCGCAATGTCTGAAATCAATTGAATACGCAAATGTAGAAACAAGTTTCATTGCAGACACTTAGTCCAAGTAAAAGGGATACTAAAACTGCAGTAACTAGAACGAGGCTGGAGTCCTGTTGCTTGTTTGCCTGTTTGCTTGTGATTGGAGACACCAGTAGGACAAGGATCTCAATTGGCCAAAGTAGTATTATTCCTTAAAAATATCACCTTCAATATGTATAGGACTTAACAGAAATAATCAACAGTTGCCATTTTGTCACAACACAATTACTTGACGCCAGTCCGTAATTGGCTTCGTCGTATATTTCCGTTACGCTCATGTATTGCGAATGATGAGAAAGAGTAACGTACCCGCTTGTTTTGTAGCCTCCCGGCATGTTTATGTGTTCCTTTGATACGTTGCAGTTCTTTGATAATTGTTATTGCTGTGTATTTGTACATAACTTTGTAAGGTTTCGGAGTGAAAGTTTATGTTAATTATTGTTTTAAATAATTTTGTATAAGTTGTGATACTCATTTTGTTT